GCAGCGCCCCTCACGCATACATGGCTTCAATGATGTGTTCGTACTTGGCCATGACAACCCGCCGCTTGAGCTTGAGCGTCGCCGTGAGTTCGTCGCCGCCGATGCTAAAGTCCTTGTCGACAATCTCGTACTTTTGAATGTGCTGTGCACGCGACGCCGCGCGGCCGTTGGCCTTCTTCAAGTTCTTGTCGATGTATGCCTTGACCTTGTCGCACGCCTTGGCTTCGGCAACCGTCGTGGCAGTCGACCCTAGCTCGCTCACGATCGCCAGTGCCGCCGCGTCCAGTTGGTCGCTCGGGTTCCCGTCCGCATCCACCACGACCTTGAGCGTGAAGATGGCCGTGAGGAACTTGCGGCGGTCGCCGATCGCCATGGCGTTCGACAGGAGCGGGATCTCTTCCTTGATCGCGTCTTCGAGGAGGACGGGCGGGATGTTTTCACCGCCCGCCGTGATGATGAGCTCCTTGATGCGGCCCGTGATCGAGCAAAAGTTGTCTTCGTCCAGCTTGCCGCAGTCGCCAGAGTGGAGCCACCCGTCCGCGTCGATCGTGTCTTTCGTCGCTTGCTCTGCCTTGAGGTACCCCATCATAGTGTTGCGGCCTTGGTAGATGAGCTCTTGCGTGCCGTCCACGACTTGCATACGCGTGCCTTCCATGGGACGCCCGACAGTGCCAATCTTCCACGCCCCTTTCAAGGAGAGCGTCGTCGGCCCCGTGCACTCGCTCTGCCCAAACAATTCGTAGAGGGGAATGTCGAGGGCCGCAAAGTAGTTCACCACTTCCAACGTAATCGGCGCCGCGCCGGAAAACATGGTCTCGCACCGGTCAAAGCCCAGCGCGGCGCGAACTTTAGAGAAGATCAGTTTCTGCGCAATGGTCTCTCCACATGGGGTGCCACCGGACCTGCCGTACTGCGCCTCGTTGTTCTTGATGGTGCCGATGCCCTTGGCCCAGTCCACGAGAGCCTTTTTGATGCCGCTGTTGTTTTTTCCGATCGAGATCATCTTCTCCATCATTTTCTCCCACACACGAGGGACAGCAAAGAACAGCGTCGGCCGTGCTTCCTTCAGCGTCGTGCCGAGACTGCCCTTGAGCGCATCGGGCTGTGCAAAGTAGATGGCGACGCCGCGAGTGATGGGTAAGTAAATGTCAAAGCATTGAGCTGCGATGTGCGACAGCGGCAAGTACGACACTGTGTTTCCATGCTCGTTCAACGATGGCCCGGACGATTCATAGCTCTGGCACACGGCTTCAATCGTCCATGTCACGTTGTCATGGGAGAGCATGACGGCCTTCGGGTTGCCGGTCGTCCCGCTCGTGTAGATGAGGGTGCAGCAGTTGCCAGGCTTCTGGGCGTCCATGCGGGCTTCCAGCACCGCGTCGTCCACGCCGGCGCCGGTCGTCAAAAAGTCGGCAAACGTGTACACGGGGACGGGGCAGTCGAGGTCGCTCGGCACAACGTCGTTGTAGATGACCAGCGCCTTGAGGGCCGGCAACTTGTGCGCGATGGCGACATACTTCTCGAGCTGGGCCACGCCGTCGCACAGCACGAGTTTGGCTTGGGAGTGGTCGGCGATGAAGTGGCACGCATCCGGATTGCTCGTAGTGTACACCCCCGCAGGAATGCACCCGCCGAGGATGGCACCGATGTTGGCGGTCACCCACTCGATCGAGTTGAACCCGATGATGTTGATCACGTCGAACGGTGCGAGACCGAGGTGGATGAGCGCTTTTGCAAACGCGCGGCAGTCGGCGTAATACTGGGACCACGTCTTGTGCGTGTACTCGGTCGCGCCGACCGCTTTCGTGTAGTAGACAGGTGTGTTGGGCAAGCGGTGGACTGTGTTCTTGAGTGCCTGCACGACGGTCTGCGGCGTTGCGGCACCCACCCCCGACTCGGTCATGCGGAGCGACACTTCTTGGTCCACTTCCCACGCCTACACGCAAAGGGAGTCAGGGTGAGTGCGACAGGCATCCCGACGAAAGCGGCGCACCGTGAGAGGTTTCGTCGCGACCATGGTGCCAGCAGCTGGACGCGGAATATCGAGGAATGCCTTGGGGCTGCTAACTCGGCCAAAAACGTGCTGCATTACCTGCCGGTTTGGGTTTGTTGAAGTTGACTTGGGAGGAACGACGACAACGAGAGATCGACGGATATGACGCATGGCGGCGGCCATATCGATGCCATGGGCATGCACTGCTCGGATGAATGGCACGCACAAAAGTTTTAGTCGTCGCCGTTCAAGTGACCCTAGAGCTCGCCATCGCTCCATGTGCACGCCAGCGTCCAGCGAAGCGGTGGTTCCCGATGCGGGTCGGGCATCATGAGGATATATGCGGAAACGTTTAGCTTGAAAAAAGTATGTCATATAATCCCACCGTCGTTGGCGAAGGCGATCACAGCATCTGGCGACATGTTGTCGTCTGGTCGAATGAGAGGCGCGATTGCAGGCCCCTTCCTCATGGTGGCTTGCGGAGGCTGGCGACGACGACGTTGTGACGCTAGAATTGTACAGGGGGGACGGGGGGAAGGAGCCCTTGGACTGGGCCATGGGGACCGTCCAGCATCGAGGGGCAGATCAGGGTTGGCGAAGGAATCGTGGCCTTTCCGGTGCAGAGATGGCCATTCCGTGTTTCGTAATCGTGGCGGTAGGCACCACGACGCAGACACCTGGTTGGAGACCATGGATGTCGGGTTGGGACATCCTCGTCATGCCGTCGATGCATCCCAGGCCGCGCTCGGCGCCCTCTCTGATTTGGGTCTCTCAAAGATCTAGCGGGCGTGGTCGCCGTGTCGCAACGGACGAGGGCGCCGCTTCGCCTTTTCCTGTAGTCCGCCACATGTCCAGCAGCCCCAGCGCCACGTCAAGTTGAAGTGCAAATCCTTCTTGGCAGGCCATGCGACTCGACGTACTGCCCTTGCGGCGCAACACGGCCTTGTGCGTCTTTTTGGGGGGGTGTTGTCGGGGTGCTGAAGTTCTAGCGCGTTTTAACGTGTGCGCAGTCGTGCCGTCCCTCGGCAAGAATCTGATCGTCGCGCTGCCGTCGGAACTCAGCGCGCGAGTTACAAGCACACAACCCTGAGAAGGATTTGCTCGAAAATGGGGGTGGAGGGGTAGCGTGGGACAGGGCACTTCTGGATGGATTTCCGTGGAGAAAGGGCAAACTCGATGTCCACAAACCCCCACCCACCAACCGCTCCGACTTGATTGACAACCACGATATACCGCACCGCCATTCCTCTTGAAGGACAAAGTACGGCCAACAACACCTGCACACAACGTCACACTGTCATCAAATGCTGAGGGGGGGATCCCCCCCTCAGCACTCTCCACAACAGTCGAGCCGTGACAAGGAAATGGATGGTTGGCGAGAGCGTGGGCGTTGGCTCTCTCTCAAAGGGAGTCGCCCCATACATGGGATTCGATGGAGCGAGGTGTTTCGCCGTACGCGAGGCTGCGTTCGTTGACTCGGTTGACTGAAACACCAGCCCCGGACATGTGTATATACCGTGAAGCGTAAGGTGGTGAATCAAATCACCGGCCGCATCAAATCACCGGCCAGTTGCCTAGACCAATCAAAACTCTCCGAAGCGTATCATTGGACAAAAGTATTTCCTGCTTCAAATTATACCTGACATACTCAATAAATAGAATGTGAGAGTACTTTTTTGCCGCGCAT